CGGGCGGCCGCCCGCCAGCTGAGGCTTTCAGGAAGGGGCGTGGGGCTGCGCAGAACAAGGCAAAGAGAAAGAGCTCCGGGGCAGCAAATCGGGGCCGAAACTGGAAATTCTGGAAAAAGACGCGCACAAGCAAAGCCCACATGACTTAATCCTGCAGAGGAACGGCAGGTCTTGCCTCAGCAAAAAAGCTTCTTCACCAGCAAACGAAGAATGCGGTGGGCAGCTCCAGCAGACCAGGCGGCTGGGCAGTGCGCTCTTGCTGTAACTGTCCCTAAGAGGTGCATTGGACGGGTTTCTCCGATGTCAAAAGTGCCCTGAAGCAACTTGGGAGTGAGAGCGGCGAATCCGAACTGATTTTGCATTGCTGTTGTCCCCAGTAACATTCCTGGGTGAAAGCCGAGCCCTCTGTAGCCTTCCTTTGAAATGGACAGTTGCATTTAAGCAGTTCTACTCTTTTCGGCAGGGGGGAGCAGTGTGGGGGGACAGATCTCTGTTCGACCTTCCCTTTGAAATGGCCCCTTTCTGCAGATTGCACTCATGTCAGGAAAAGAGCCTTGACCACAACCACAAGCTGCTTTTAAACTTAAATGTTGTTTTTAAAGTTCTCCAATTCGTTAAGGGTCTCCCAAGGCACAGCCATCGTTCCTCGGGCACGTGCCATCACCAGAAGCATAAATCGCACTAATTTTTTTTCTTTTTTGCCTTTTTCACAGGTCAAAGCAGATTACTCACGTTGGCCGTGGGTGTCTTTGTCTTTTTAAAATGCATTTAAAATACCCCCGTGGCTCATTTCTGAATTTGTTTTTGTGGAATGTGGATTTGAATTTCGCTTGGGCTTTGCTCATACGCACGTTGTCCTCCAGCTTGCTTTGCAGCCCAAACAAATCAGCGTTGGAGTCTGTGGTTGCGTGGTCGCCATTGTGTAGCGCTCGTGCCCCGGGCAAGACCAACGGGGGGACGTTGAGGTTGGTCCAAGGGGAGGCGGGGAGGTGCAGGGCAGCCTTGATGTCGCTGAACAGAAAAGCTTCTGCCCAAGCAGGGCAGCGTTTTTGCCCAGTTACACACGGAGGCTGATGCATCAGACCTTCCCTCTCGCATTTCAGGCACTCAAAGATCCAGGCCTTTTTGCTGCGTGAGATTCTGAACAGCTTTTTTTTTTACTAGGAACCGTTTATTTCTGCTTACCTCTGCCTAAATGCAGTTCTTTATAAAAGAGCGAGCGTGTTTTCAGTTTGGTTTTCACCTTGCCACATTTTGTGTGCCAGAGAACCTAAGTAATGCCCTCTTGGTTCCTGGAGAGCCTTTCAGTTTTTATCTGGTTGCTACAACAGACACCGTCTCCTCCTTTGTTTCTGCAATCTGCTGGGGTTGGTTGGTTTTAATGACAAGGTAGAGCGTTCGGGTTGCAGGATTGCTTAATGTCGGGTTCTCTTTCAAAATCCAATCTGACCTCCCACGGGGGAAATATTTCTGTGATGAGTCATAAGCACAATAGTCGGGTGGGGTTCTGAAGCCGGGCTTTTGCACGCTGGGAAGAGGGGAAGAGGATACTCAGGACAACAGTGGATTCTCTGGTCTGTCTGTAAGGTTTTTCCTCTCAACCTCTGCCTCCACAGTCAGTGCCCGAGGGCCTGTGGAGCAAGCGTGCGGCAGCGGGCCTCTTAAAAGTAGCTGCAGCTTCTTCACCCCTTGCTGATGCAGCGCGGTCAGCTGCTTCAGAGGGAAATTTGGTGCGTGTTCACGGTCGCAGCCACAACTCCCTTTTCCAACCCCTGCTTCGTCAGGGGTGAGACGCGTCCAGCTGGTTGGATCTTCTGAGTAGCTGAAAGAGCTCTTTCAGTCTGTATAACAGTCGGTCACGCGAGTTGCTTGTATGCAGATCAGGCAGTTTTTATACTGTATTAAAAAAAAAAAAGGATTCTGTGAAGTTTTGAGGGTTTAGAAGA